TTCATCTTAATCATGTTGTTTGTTTTAAAGTTTTTAATAATGTTTTTTATTTTTATTTTTGATTAATTAAATATATTTAATTTTTTTGTGAAATTGTATAATAATTTTATTAGCTGAGGTTTTGTCTTGATTAGGAAAATAAATGTTAATGAAAATGTTCTTTTTTTTTTTTAATTTGCAAAATAAAAAAATCTATACACATGTGGTTTTGTTATATAGTAATTTAGAAATGGAAATAAAAATAAAAATATGACTAAATTATTATATATATAGTAACAATTGCTAAAATTAACTGGTTCTAAGTTTTTCTAAGTAGATGTTAGTAAAGTTGGGGAAAATAGCCTACACATCATGACAATAAGGGCAAAAGGATTAGAACAATTATAGCTCCTAAAATTAAAGGTAAAATGCAATTGAATTGAGGAAATAATTACCCTTTCCATGAAGAATGATGGTGTGTCGAATGTGAAATTTGAACCTCCAAAAAATGTAATGAATTCCCCAAATTTTATGCAGTCCAATATTCGTAGTTGTTTTAAGGATGAGAATTTCAAGTAAAATTTCTTCTGTAGAAGCTGATAAGGTTTTGAAGGTCTTCTATCACCAGAAAAGTCAATTGAGGAAAAATCAACATTTCTTCTACTAGATTAATTTTAGGATCAATAACCTGTCTCATCCTTTGGCATTTCTTTACTTGCAGGTGACTAAGCTTCAACAATCCTGTTGCCATAGAAGATGAGAATAGGTATTCTAAATTGTCACAGCCATGAATGATCAACTTTGTCAGGTTCTTGAAACCAAATGTGATCAAATTGTCCCATATGAAATTACCAACCATAATTGAGAACAATTGCAATTCTTCTAAGTTTAAAAACACAACCTGCACAACAAGTAGTTCTTTTTAGGAGGTAAAGGCTTATCATTTTGTTTATAGAAAAGAATAAGGATTATCTTCTATATGCGACAATAATATAGTTATAATACCATGTATATAGAATTATAAATTTTCAAATTAAATGAGAAAAAGTATACAATATTACTCATGAAACACTAAATAAAAATAATTATTTATATAATAACATGTAATGATTACAAATTTAAAATGACACGTTATTTTAAATATATCATTGTCATACCTTATTCATCTTCATATTACCTTCTTTATCAAAGATATTATGTTGAAATACACTCATTAAATGCACTTTTTGGTTTCTATTTTTGATAAATTAAGTTTATTTAACACATTTTTTAATTTTCTTACCCTTTCATAAAGTTTAGTTACTGTATAATTTTCTATCTAATAAACTATTATATAAATATTGTACTCAATGGAAAGTACACAATTCAACCGTATATTATTCTTCTATTAGTCTAACCTCAACTCACCATAATACTCTACTATGAATAGAAAAATAGATAGAAATCTAGGTGGTGACTTTGGAAAGAACAAAAATGGGAAAAAAAAATTTAAATACCTTTTCATTGAAAATTTGTGTTTCGAAGAAAAAGAATTATCATGTTCATCTTGGGCTTCACCATACAAGTCAAAATGTGTCCTTAGGGGACTTTTGGTGGTAATTAAGAGATGGAGGCATCACACTAGAGGTTTAGACTCGAATTGGGGAAGGTTATTTCCCAATTTATAGTCTATTATTTCATCTTAATCATGTTGTTTGTTTTAAAGTTTTTAATAAAGTTTTTTATTTTTATTTTTGATTAATTAAATATATTTAAATTTTTTGTGAAATTGTATAGTAGTTTCATTAGCTGAGGTTTTGTCTTGATTGGGAAAATATATGTTAATGAAAATATTTTTTTTAATTTTAATTTGCACAATAAAGGAATCTATTCACATGTGGTTTTGTTACAGGCAAAATACCCAAATCCATCCCTAAAGTATAGTGGTAGGGACGGATCCACACTCGAACAAAAAACGGGGACAAATCCACCTACAAAGTTTTCGACTTGGACAAATCATCCCAAATTTAACGTGACGTCATTTGACATAATCAATTCGTTAATTTGTTAACGGATTGCTGATGTCAGATGACGTCAAATTAATAGATTGCTGATGTCAAATGACGTCACACGTTAAATTTGAGATGATTTGTCCAAGTCGAAAACTTTGTGGGTGGATTTGTCCCCGGGTTTTGTTCGAGGGTGGATCCGTCCCTACCACTATACTTTGGGGGTGGATTTGGGTATTCTGCCTTTGTTA